CCCGAAGCTTTTCCCCGCAGATACGTTCCCGACCAAGGCGCTGTCCCTCCGGGCCATCTGGCCCGAGGCCTTCGCGTGGATGAACGACTCTCTGAACATCGCAGCGGAGGTGAGCAAGGAAGACAAGCGGTGCCCGGAAGTTGAGCTGCACGGCAGGAGGAGGATCCGAGTGCTGCTGCCGTTCATGATGCCCGGCTTCCGTCACCGTCACCGCTCGTCCGAGATGCCCAGCAAGGGGGAGCGGTGCTTCTATCTGAACTCAGGCCAGGATCATTCCTCTACGACGCACAAGATCATCACGCGGGCTGGGGTGCCCATCTACTCCGAACACTGTACCTTCGGCTTCAGCAGCCAGGGCTTTCGAGGAGATGTAGGATAAAGCTGTCGCCAGAATAGTACACGACACCGTTTACAGTAATACTGTTCACGGTGTCGTCATAACCAATCGTTACCGTCGTGGATGCATTAGAAAGAACGAAGCTAACGTTCTGACCTGCACCGGTAGACGACACGAATGGAAGCATCACCCCCTCTACATCCTCAGTGATTTCCAGCGTATCGCCTAGTTTGATGAAAGACGTTTGAAGTTCTTCGTCGCGCTGCACCGCGACTTTACGATGTCACCCGTTTTGAAAAGCTCGTTCATTACGTCGGCGATATTTGATACGGTGTCTTTGGGAAGAGGGCTGAGATTGATAATACCGTCTTGTATCAAATGTGACGTGTCGTGGTTGGAAACTACGTTAGTCAGTGTCCTTGTCGTCAATTCTTCTGTCAACACATACCCGGACCCGTTATCGGCTTACAGCTTGATGGTGTACTCCGTGTCGGCTGCAAGACCGACAATGTTATGTTCCAGGGTGGCAGTAACACCGGACAAGGTTTCTCTTCCACTCGGACCAACGTACGAAACTTGTAAGTACTACCTGGTACTTTGGTAATTACAACTTGAATGTTAATCGAGTAAGGCTGAACAAGCATCGGGGCTACGGAAACGCTCACAGCGGTCAAGTCGTAAGAGTCAAACACCTGCAACTTGTTGCCATCATCTAACAAGAAAGTATCCCCTGATGCGTGGGTTACGGAGTCCACTGTAACAGTATCGGTCACTTCGTCATTCGTGATAGGAACAGCAGTACTATCGTACTACGTCAAGCTCACGGTTTGACCTGCACCGGACGATTGGTTAAACGATAAGCGAATGCCGTCAATACTAACAATACTAAGGGTTCCTCCTTGGGCGAAGAACGAAGTGGAGAGTGCGGTCTCGTCTGGTGAAGTGACGGTAACAATGTCCCCTGTGTTGACTAGTTCTGGTAGGATTGAGGTCATGATAGCAATAGTTGTTACATCCAGTGACCTCAAATCAGTTTCACCAGAGCTGTCTTGAAAATCTGTGATGTCGTAGTTGGAAGCAACGTTTTCAAGTGTAGTCGTGGTCAGTTCTTCGATCAAGACGTACCCAGATCCGGCGTCTGCGTACAGTTTGATAGTATACGAAGTTTCTGGTTCTGACTCTGTTGTACTGTCCCGGACACCACTGTGACCTCTCGCCCTGTGGGACCCTCGAAAGTGATTGTATACGCTGTGGCTCCGGGATATTGGCTGAGCACGACAGGCATATTGATCGTGCGAGGATCAACAGTGCTCGGTAGTAGTTCTTGCACACTCAACACAGTCAACCCAGAGTAGTCGAATACCTCGAAGATTTTTCCGTCCAGCAGGAATGTATCCCCTGTGGAGTGAGTAGCGGAATTTAAGGTGATGGTCTTCCCCACTTCGTCGTAGACGCTTGGTACCGTTGTAACCTCGTCTGCCAGTGTCACGCTTATGGTCTGACGCGCCCCCGCGGTATCTTGGAAAGGTAAGAGAAGTCCGTTTGTTCCGGTAATACTCACGGTTTCGCCCAGGTCGACGTTTCTCGTGGTGATACTTTCGATACTTTCGTTTGCCACCGATACACTTTCTAGATCCCCGGTGCTGAATAATCCGGTAATCACCCCCGCGATGTTCAAAGCATCGGACAGGGAGGTCAAGTCGGTAACGCCGTTGTTTTGGAAATCAGTTGTGTCGTAATTGGCCGCTGTGTTGGGGAGCGTCGTCGTGGTCACCTCTTCCTGTACTTACCCTGCACCCGTGTCCGCGTACAGCTTGACCATGTACTGAGTATCAGGCTCCCACCCCAACTATGTAACTCACATCGCTAGTCCCTGAAAACGCCACAACTTCACCCCCCGTCGGTCCCTCGTATGTCATTTGGTACTGCGTAGCACCAGCTACCTCTTCAATTTGTACAACAATGTTGTTAATGGAGCGCTCTTCGACGGATAAAGGGACGGATACTTCGGGCCCCGCGGTGTGAATGACCTGAATGGCTGCTAAATCCAGTGGATCCTCATAAAACCTCACGTCTATCATACAACCCCGAAAGAAGTTCTATCCAAGTTAGGATCGGCAAAGGTTAGCGCATGATCTCAGGATCGGCAAAGAACATGTACACAGAACCGACAAAGGTTAGCTTCTGGATAGTTTCCTGCGTAGTAGGCCTGTCCAACGTCCGTGGTCAACGCGAATGCAGGTTACGCCAATTTCAAAAATACAGGAGGGCACGGTAGAAGCAGGCGAGACGAGGCGAGGCGAGCGGCAAGCACCACAAGGACAGCCAAGGACAGTCAAGGAAAGGGACATACCTCGGCGATCCTCGAGGATCCTCAAGGGGAAAGACTGTATGGGTAGGAAGGGCAGGGTAGCGGTTGGAATGGGTGTGTGTTGTGTGTTTTCGTCCTGTTTACTATGGCGACATCCCCCCATTTGTCGTGGTGAGACGTGTTCTATACACTTTTCAGCGTGTGAAGAGTACTACACTTTTCAGTGTATTTATTCGTACAACTACAACTATCCAGGGTCACACAGGAGGGGATAAACACCAGGCCTTTTTTCTTCTTTTTTATTTCTTTTCGTGTCCCACCTTCCTCCTGCGGTGCGTGTTGAATTTTTTTTTTCTCGCGAGAAGGGTTCAACCGTCCCTTTCCCTCGTCAACGGTGCTAACGTCGAATTTTGGTACTCACGAGAGCTTGTCAGCTATATTTCGCTTGCACCGGCACATTTCGTATTTTTTTCACCCCATGGGGATTCGAACTCACGACCTCTGCGACTAGCGGATTATTACGAGGATTCCACTAGACCACCGGGGCGACCGATGTCTATGCGAGCGGTCGGCAGGCAGAGTTTTTTTTATTTTATAAATCCCCTCTTCCCTGATGGAACAAACGCCTAGAACTATTGAAAACTTTGCAGCTCTCTATCGGGGGATTGGGGTGCGTTTCCCTCCGCGTACGTTTTTGTGTTGATGCCAAGGGCCTTGTCGTGGTAATGTTTAAGTCCAGTACAGCTGCGATCAAAGTGTCGTGTATTAGTCTAGGAGTTCTGACCGTACCAAGAAGACAGCAAGGGAGAAGACTCCTGGTGCGTCAGACCTATGGTATATGCTTGATTGTCATAGTCATAAACCATAGACCCGGGGCGAGAGAGATGTGGTGCAATCGGGCCGCTTTTCTTGAGACTGTGGAAGTACCCGGTAATTACGGGTAAAAGCAAAAGTATGTAGTCTAGAGTGATAAACTTATGACCGACTTCCTCGCCAAATTCCCATGCATCCACGTGACAATGGCAAATACTGGAAATGCCGAAATACCGCCAAATTCCGCTGAACCAGAATTCTACCCTTGAAAGGAGCGCAAACGCAGTCATTCGTCTGAGCTACTCCCCCACCTCTCCTGGTTTTCGGAGCTAGCCGGCAATTCGGATCCAGCCGTTGTGCGATACGTAATCATCTCCGTTATGATTTGAGGAGGACGGATTCTAAAGCTGTAGAGAAGCACTGCACCTGTTCGCTCCTTCCTACTGCTGCTTGAGACTGACTTGGGCCCTCCAAAACTCCAACAGGTACGAACGAACTCCTTCGTGTGAGGTCGAAGATGGACTGCGTCTTTGTACAAACCCAACATGCCACCATGCACAACATACTTGCTGCCGTTCACCTGTCGCCGCCCTTCGACGTCTATCTGTCCATGACACATGCTGCCACTTGACGCGACATCTATCTGGGAACAACACGGACACAGGGAGTACTCCCCCTACCCATACACACACCGTCAAAACTGCTTATAAGCTAGAACAATCTCTCATTCCTCTCGTTTCACATACAAATGATAGATTCATGAAAAAACAGGATAGTAAAGCTATGAGTTTTGTAGTCAAAGTGCCTCTCTTCGTGATACATATTTATTTCCGATCTATCTCCCGTTTGGACGCGGCTACCCTCCGATGATAGTACTTACTTGCTGTAGCCCGATATAAGGGGGCACACCATCTTACTAGATCGGGTGACACTCGCTTGCTATACCGATATTAGAGGGGGTCGAGGGGCTTTGTCCACATCACCCTCCTGTGTAGACTACTTGTACAACAACGGCTGACTGTACTTGTTATCCGACGGCGGCCGTGATACTGAAAAAAACATGAAATCGCTGGAGCCGTCCTGCCGCTACGGATTCATTGTGACTCTATCTTAGACTCTATTCTATAGATAGAGATGGATTCGTTGTGCTATATCAAAAAGAATGAAAATCAACACAGGCATCACAGCAATTGCTGAAGCTAGGGATTCGTTGCCAATCTAACTTATTAAACATGTGTGCAACATAGACTAGTCTCGAGACTAGAGATGGATTCGTTGTGTCGAGAACAAAAGAAAAAAAATAATGCGGCGTAATTAGATTAATCCGTGTGCCTTCGTTTCCCCCAGCCCCTTCCTGCTCACAACTTACACGCACACCGACCTCTGTCAGCAACACGACTCCGCCAACCTTCCACTGTCCGACCAAAAAGCATCATGATGAACTTTGGAAAGATGCCCGCGGGAAGGACTGCGTCCAGGCTGGCAAGGGTCGTCAGCAAGAGCGAGTCCAGCATCCAGAGCAGCGTCCGGGCCGGCGGCTCGATGAACGCTCTGCTGTCGACGAGGTCTGGCCTCACCGTCACCCAGGCGGCGACCAGGCTTACCGCTGTAAAGCTCCCGGTTAGGCAGATGTCTGGACAGGTGAGGTGATGTGTGCCAACTCTGGCGGCGTGTCTGGAAGCGCTCTTATCTGTTCTGTGTGCATGATTGTTCTGCCTCGTGCGCATGAAGACGTGTGCGTGTTTTTTTTCCCTTGCGGGATATTTCAGACTCGTGCACCACCATGCGGCATATTTTCGAAGGGACCTATGTTAGGTGGGCGAAAATTGATGGATCGAGGCGCACAGTACTTTCTTGAACGCTACTCAAGGACAAGCACACGCCCCAAGTGCTTTGCAATGTTTTCCAATATTCCCCGCGCAACCCTCTAGTCTGCTAGGATCGCTTTCACCGCACCTCTCGATTCGCCACTCAAAACATCTAAATTAGCACATACATGAACGTTGATGGGAGCTCGGGCCTCTTGGCGCCGTTACAGTCTTGTTTTGTTCGGGGCGTTTCGTGTTGCATCATGGTGTGCGCGCTTCCAAACGGCAGTGCCTTGCACTTTTCTCAATACTATAAGCGGGCGCAGGTAGGTGCTGTACCGCTTTGTCGCACGCGTACGGCCGCGAAGTCATCCACCATGCATCTGTACATCCAGAATTGTCTCCTCCCTGATCGTTCCCCAACTCAAAACTCTATTTAAAGGTTTCTGGGTCACTATGAAACCTTTAAATAACTGGGGAATTATGCGCGCTGCTTCGCAGTGCGATCTAGCCGTGCGAGTGCGGCAACACGGTACATTAACCACGCCCCAATCCGCTCGCCCTTTCTCCCTGACGCGTGGTGAAACGTCCTGCCCGACGCGCTCGCTATCACCGGACTTCGCGTGGACCTGTTCAGGCCGACTACGCGGCCAACTACACCTCTGGTGAGTCAACCGGCAGCCTTCGCTGCTGCCTCATTTGCTGTTGCATGCTGCAGGTGCTATAAAAATGGCGTCTTCTCGCCGCAGGCGTCGTTTGCTGCTTAGTGTTCGCCGGCTCACGTGTGTTGCTTGTTTTTACTTCCTTGTCATCAACGTGTTCCATTCGGCAACTCCCTACAAGCGGAGGGAGTCGCTTCGACCGTTTCAACTACGTTGCGATCATCTTGTGCGTGTTTTCTTCTGCACAGATGAGAAATGCAACCCAGGTGTGTTGGTGCGCCCCATTTCCTTCTTCCGTGTCGGGTGATCTGATGTGGACGTTCGTATCAAAAGCATCCATCTCTCTCCCGTTGTACTATTTTGTCTTCTCTTGGGTGATCAGGGGTGAACGTTCAGCTCACATGCCCCTGTATCTATACATTTGGTGTTGTTGTCGTGTCGGGTGAACAGACCAAAAGGCCGTCGACGCCGCGACTAGGAACTGGCGGGACACCGTGACCTCCAACACCGAGGACGCTCCCAAGAAGACTGCCGCCATCTACGCTGACGACGCGCTGTTCTGGGGAACGGTGTCGGAGCAGGTCCGCAACACGCCCGAGCACGTCTACGACTACTTTGTAAGTTCTTATTCTGGATTGAAATTCATTGTGTTGGGCAGCAGTAGCAACAACCATCGCGCGCGGAATGTGTGTGTGGCGTTCGTGTTGTCCTTTGTACATGTAGCATGGTGGCTATCACCATCTACCTGCGTGTTGCATGGTCTGTTGTTGTCCTCGACACATGAGCATCGTGGCGTGGTGTTTTTCTATGACTCCAGTGATGCGTGTTTTAGTAGAATAATGGACGTGCCATTTGTAGAGCGAGCTGCAATCCCTTCATTTTTCAAAGTGAGTGGCTACCTGCATCGTCGCTGCTGGCACAAGCCCAGCAATCTACATCATGATGCTCAGTTCCAAGGGCCAGCCGAAATACCCAAGCTTGAAACACCCGCACAACATTATGAAGCACACGCTCGACTACGCACGTCTGGCCTTTGTTTTCCCTCCACACAAGGACTTCTTTGCCCGCATGCCCAAGCTCTCCATGGTGGCATACGACCCGGCGCCCCCGCGCATCCACGGAGACTTCGCCATCCACGCGGGCGCCTACACGTTCGCCTGGGCGGGAGCTGACGGGGCAATGACCGAGACGCGGGCGCGCTTCACGTTTGCCTACCGAAGGGAGAACGGCAAGTGGGTCATGGTCGAGCACCACTCCTCCGCGATGCCCAAGGCGCCCCCTGGCCTCAAGCCTGTGAGTATTTGCAGGGGCCGTGGCGGAATGAGGTTTTGAGTAGTCGTACTACTGCTTTCCGTTGGTTTTCTTGCATGTGTTTTTCGCGAGAGAACGGGATTTCGTGGCGTGGTCGATTGGTTTTGTTGTTTTCTGTATTGTAACGATTATCAGAAGTGCGGCTCCTCCCGACAATAAATTGAGTATTGGATAGACTGAGCAAGCGTTTTATTGCGTTGTGATGACCAACCCGTTGTCGACGTTTCCCCGAGTAGCATTCAGCGACTCTTGTGCTCTTGTGTTGCTAGATTTTTTTCTCGGTATGCACAACGAATCCATCTCTACGTCGTTGTTTTCTTGTCACACACCGTCCCAAGTATTTGTTTCTTTTTTTGTTCCATGATGGTTCCGAGCTGATCGGTCACACCGATTCACCAGGTGGATACCTGATCTAGGCTCGCCGCCCTCTGCGGTCTTTTTTGGTACGTCGTTCCAGTGATTCCTTATGCCTCGCCTAATCGCGCTATCCACCGTAACCCAACCGATCCCGACTGCGATGTCGCGTTCGCTGTCGCGCAGGCCCAGCACTAAGAGGCCTCCGGAAATGAAGACGCAGGCAGACGTGAGTTCCCTAGTGTAGGCGTGGATATGTCAACTGCTTTTGTTTCCGCATCCCGCTACCTGTTCTTGTTCCGTTCCGGCCCCCTTTTGTGCTTTTCGGTGTATGCAATTGCTTCCGTTGCCGGCCGCTGTGGCCGCCTCGGGTGTACGGGTTGCACCCTCTCTGAAGAACTTGGAATACGTTATCGAGAAATTTTGAACCATACATGTACAGCGGCCCTCTGTAGCGCAACCCCGTGGGGAAATAGTAGTATCCCTTCACAGTAGTTGGCCTGTATCCGATATTAGTTTTTTGGTATCTCGCCGCCACGTTGGCTTGTACAACATAAACACCGAATGAAGCGTGCTCTCAGATTCTTTCCGTAGTTACCGACCGCGATACTAGTCATTCGACTTGGAACTCAACATCCCTTGTCCCCGAATTGCCGTCTGTTTTTCTCTTTTTTTTTTTGTGTGTGTATGTGTGTGTGTGCGGTCTCAACTCAACAGGCGTTCGCGCCCAGCAAGCAAGCACCTCGTCGATTGTGCATGGCGAGCGGGCGAGCAGCAGACACCGGGACTACCTCGAATCTCGTAGACTTGGTTGATTCGTGCTTGATGATGATGCCGGTTTGGCGATAGCTCGTCTCGATAGAGGCAGGTCCGGAGCGCCTGAACCTCTTTTGATGCGGCTTTCATTAGAGAAAATGTAGCACAGTGGGCGCGTGCGCCGATGTGTTTTGAAATCAAGGGAAGCTAATTTTTGGGGTGAAAAAGGCGGTACAGCTGTTGGTATTTTCCAGGCTAGCACTCTGGCGGTTGGCTCCCAAGGGATCACCCGCTGGCACTTGGGGTGAAGTGTGGTTGTTTTTGGGGTAGCGTGCGACCGCGACAGGAGGCCATCGACTGGACCTTGTTGAGGTGGCGTGACGCGCACCCCGCTCCTAAAACGGCAGCGTGGGCAAGGTGTTTCGGGAGGAGATTGCTGTTGTACAGGTCATTGGCCATGAATTGGGCGTTCCTGGTTAATTGTGGCTGATTCGGCATGTTCGTACATCGTATCAAGTACAAGAGAGGTACTTGGGGTACACATTTAGCCTCGATAGATTCATGTACATAGACTAGATGCAGGAGGAGTGCGTGAAGACGGTGTGTGACCAGAGGTAGCATCGTGTGAGATCTTGCTTCCTGACAAAAATATTTTCTAGACTACTATCCCTTTCGGTGTTGTGGAATGTTGTGGAGTGTTTCACGCACGTTTGACGTACTACAGGTGCAACCCTCCTGCGTCCCGTACCTAGATGCCTAGACTAGAGTGATCCTCTTGTGACACTTTTCGTGCCTCTGCTGTTGACCTGATGAAAAAATGAGCAGCGTCTGCGGGACAATGAAAGAAAAAAAGAGTCGCACGCTCAGTGGACCATCCCGTGAGTAGTTGTAGATCCAGCCAGTACCACCCCAACCTCACAACACGCACGCGATGATTTTCATTATCATGACATAAGACTAGTTCAATGTCGTCACGGAATATCACATGCGTCTCCATGAGCCACTCATGTCTCTGAACGCCAAAAGCACATCTTTAGCACAGATGGACTTGTGGCGCATAGAGGGGGGAGTGATGTGGAGGACACCTGTCGGAATACATAACCAACCATTTGTGCACATACGAAGTAGTATAGGAAGATATGATTCCTCGGGGTAACTTGCCATCGGGAGAAGTGGCAGGTAAAGCACCGAGGAGATTTGTCTCTTCCGAAGTCCCATGGCCGCTTGCCGAGGGAAGAGATGGGGGAGCCTCCGGCTCGCCCCTCTCGACCCTCTGGTCACTCGTTCTCTCCCTCTCTCCTCGTTACATCTCACGAAAGGAAATAGCCACCCTTGGCAGTGGGAGAATACTGCCAGAGCACCGGCCTCTGTCTCTGACAGGGATTAGTGTCCTCAGCAGCGCCAAATTTAGTTCGGCTAGACAAACTCCAAGACAAATTATTATTATTTTCACGCATTCGTACGCGAGATAAAAGGAAACAGTAAGGAAGGAGAAAATGAAATAAAAAGAGCTAGGACAAAAAGGGACCAGAAACAAGAGACAGAAAAAGGGACACGGTGGAGAGACCAATAACGACAAGCAAACACGCAAACATGGCCACCAACCAGCGATACATTGTAATGGTACGTCATCACTAGTGAGGCGTTGGTGCAATGGTGCAGCGTTGGAGGAGGGGGGGAATTGGCTAAAAGAAACTCCTGGTTAAATGTGGCCGATTCGAGATGATCGTACATCGTATCAAGTACAAGCTGGTGTGTCTTGAGGTACTTGGGGTACACATTTAGCCTCGTTGGATTAATGTGCATAGAATGCAGATGGAGTGTGTTGAGACGGCGTGTGATAAGAGGTAACACCCGTGTGAGTTCCTGCATGCTGACACAAAAAAAATTAGATAGACTAGACTATCTAGACTATCCATCTCCTGCCTTGTTCCATGTATCTAGGCACAATGACACGCGCAACGCTCATGCGTCTGGTGCTTAGAGTGTGATCCTCTTGTCACACTTCTTGTTGTGCAACTGCTATTCACGTTATGAAAACTTGCGGCGGAGAAGTCAGAAAAGAGAGCCGCACGCTCAACTTGTACCACCCCGACACCCCACCCCGACCTCATAACACGTACGCTTACGATTTTCATGATCATGATCTGCGACTAAAAGTTACAGACGTCAGGAGCTATTACGAGCCTTCCTCTCCTCGTCGCATGCAGAGTGGAGGGGGGTTACAAACGGGGCTTAGGTTCCTTGGCATGCGTAGTTTTTTGTTTGTTTGTTTGTTTCTCTCCCATCATTGGACTCTGCCGTCTGCCCCTCTGGCCCCTATCCTCCACTTCTACTGGCTAGACGACCCAACCGGGGTCACATAGGAGGGGGGGGTGGACCCCCCTCCTGCGGTTCTAGTAAATGGCCGTGAACTCATCGGCAGCAGTTCGCCGCAGGCCGTCGAGGAGGGATGCGTTGCCGTCTTTACCCTGAACGGTGTCTTGGGTTTTCTTCACCAACAACCGAAAAAACAAACGTACCAGGCGGTGTGTTGTCTTGACATTAAAAAACCCAGTACCTACCGTCGTCTGTCCGTAGTTTATTGATCAAACACGTGACAGAGCGGATTAGGTCCATCCAATTTGGGTCAATGTAGCTGCAACTTCTGAAGTCAAAACACGCCATCATCATGGGCGGGTGCAAAAGGGGCGCAGTTCAACTCGGGTTCTTCGATTCAGCAAAATAACGACAACTCAATTTGCAATTGTTCAGTGCTTCACTCACCACCCAATCAATGTCGAAGTCCCACTTCTCCCGGGGGCAGAGAAAATTCCAAACGTGTTTTTTACTGCTGACCAATCAGCGTCTTTGGGTCCCAGGACCTCCCCCACACTTCCAAGGAAAAAAACGCCCTGCTGCTGGCTGTGAGGGCGGCGGTGTGACAAATGGCCCTTGACCCTCTTACATCGGGGCCCCCTAAAAATTATGCAAATATCGGTATAACAAGAGAGTGTACGAGGGGTACCCTTATTTCGGGGCACTCTAAAAACAAGTGTCCCTTCTTACCAATCGAGAGATCGAATATAATGAGATACTACTGCTTAGCAGTGAGTTGCCACTTCGACAACAAGACACTGCGTACCATAGACTAGTCTATGCCGTGTTTTTGCATACCATACACACACACACGCATGTTGTGTGGTAAACAACATAAAGGAGCATGTGGTGGGACGATTGTGTCCGAATCGCATCGAATCGCATGCCTGCCCAAAGCAAGCGGCGTGTGATTACGATCGTGTCGGCAACGCTGTCCGTTATGTCGTGTTCTGTTCGTTCATGTATAGTCTAGTGTTGTGGGAATATCGATCTGCAGAGATTATTTGCCACGGAAGTCAAGTTGACGCAGCCATTGATACTATCAATAAGCAGGCCATATGACGCGTCATGTTCGTTCATCATGCATGCGTGCGTTCATGTGAAACGAATACAGGCGACAGAGTCGTTACACAGGGTCGACGACGTCCCATGAGAGATGCCATGTAGTAGAGTGCCTTCATTTCCTTGCTAACCGCCACTCACTTCCACCAAGAATGGTTCGACGTGGGCCAAGGCCTCCGACAGGGATGCAACCTGGCCCCGCTGCTGTTCAACTTGTTCTTTGCCGCGATGCTCATGGTTGCCGTGGCCGAGTTCGACAAGGACCCCAAGGTGACGGCGGACATGGTCAAGATCGGGGCACAAGTGGAGTACACGGGCAAGAAGGGCAGGTCGGCGGGGAAGAAGACGACGGTGGTGACGGACGCGGAGGCCTTGTGGGCCATGCTTTACGCTGACGACGCGGCCATCGTCTCGCGCTCGCCGGAGAGTCTCGAGAAGATGATGTCGGTCATCGTGCGCGTGGCCGGCCTGTTCGGACTGATGGTGTCGGAGCCAAAGACGGAGATCATGTGCATGCTGCCAAAAGGGATC